CATTACGGTACATTACGTATACGGGGGGATACATTTTACTGAAAAATTCAACAAAGAGCAGAAAACGAAACGAAAAGGAATTTCGTTTCGTTTTCTGCTCTTTGCTGAATCGTACATTACGGTACATTACGTATACAGGCGGATACATTTTACTGATAAATTAATTGATTGAGCCAACGTAGATAATCATCTGTATCAGATCAATATTACCAAAAGTGTTTGCCTGAGTCAATGTACATACACAACAGTGATCATTTAGACAGTTCCTTTTGGTTTCGTTTTCTGCTCTTTGTTGAGTCGTATTCGGAATCATTTCGCATTTCTGTAAAAAAAACATCAGCTCTGTGGACTTCTGTCAGGGCCATACAAAGTCGGTCATTATTTCCTCTTGTTTTTACTTAATTGTTGACATTTTATCGTGTAGTCTTTAGACTGGCTGGTCAAACAACTCATTCCCTTGAACTACACGGAAGTTTAAAATGCTGAAGAAGTACATTGACACTTGTAAATAGACTATTTAAAACTCAGCTAAAAAAAACTTTCCACGTGTGTATTCATACGTTATAAAGGTAAACCACCTGTTATTTTGAGCGAGATGGTAAAGTCTGAGTTGCCGCGTGTGTGTGTGTGCTATTCACCTGACAGTCGAAGTTTCCTCCAGTCCATCCTGCAGCTTTTTGCTGTCACCTCTTCCAAAAGAAAACATTTCGGCAAGTTGGTTTGTAATCGATTTCGTGTCTTTAACCGTTGAGGCTTCAGGAGCAGAACGATCAGAACAGTTCAGAAATTCGGAGTGACGTCCAAACACTCGATAGTTAGTTTCGGTTTCACCGTCCACATCATCAAGGAAGAAGACCACCCAACACCGAAGTCGTTAACCCTTTCACTATGTGCAACCGGGCTGTCAAACACACGGCCCGTTTTCATTAAATCGAGTATAAATCTAATATACTTGTACTTCATTGCACCTTCATTTCTTGAAGGTAAGTCCTGAAGGATTAATAAAGTTCTATCTAGCTTTCTGTTTTTCTCTGGAAAAAAGGGGGGAAAACAAGGACTTATTGTTATTTATAGGTAATTGTGTTATATTTGTTCTGGTCTGGCCCACTTGACATGTAATTGACATGTGAACCAAAATAGGTTTGACATCCCTGATGTACAACATACTGTGGAGTTCACAGTGGCGGTTCTTAGCAAAGACCACATGTATACAGTACCATCTTCTGGAGGGTGGTGATGCCGTGCAGTGATTCCCAACCTTTGTGCTGAGGTCCATTGGCGTAGGTGTGTACTGTGCAAAATTATGCAATGTTACCTTTTGAATTTACTATTATTTGCAAATAATTTGTCTTTGTTCTACTGTGCGACAGTGACAGTGAGGAATTGAAAGAATTAATCAAAAATCAGTCAATAAAGACTGACAGCAATTTGTGATACATGTACAGCAGGTGTTCCCAGAGGGAGAAAATAGTACTTCCAAGATACTTGTTCTGTGTGATAGTCAGAAGAATTTAAAAAAAAAAAAAAAAAAAATCATAACTCATTCAATTTAGAAAAAAAACTGACTGCAATTTGTGATGTACAGCGGGTGTTCCTGAGGGAGAAAATAGTACTTCCAAGATACTGCCTCAGTCCTGAAATGTAATTACTAATCGAGAGTAAAGAAAAGGTTAAATGAAGCTCAAGCCAAAGATTGGTATTTTGGCTTTTTTTTTTTAAAAGCTCAAGCCAAAGATTGGTATTTCGGCATTTTTTTATTTAGTACAAAAGTCAATGCACAAAATTCTTTTGCTGACACAGACTTTATGCAGTCTCCTCCTTGGTAATGCGGTCTTTCTTGAGAGGACCCTGTAAACAAAACAAAATAAAAGTGAGAATGTGTACTGTCAACTGTGGACAGTGCTGCAACAAGTGCAGTCACTGTTTCCAGAGAGTGAACAGGGAGCAGGGACAGATGCGGTCTTGCTCCCCTGCCTCACTGGAGATTACTCTAGCACTGGAATGGAACCAGAGTTCACACTAGTGATTGAACCAGGTTACGAACAGTGCTGACACTTATAGACTTCACACCAATTTTAATTCCAAAAATATATGCTAACAATTGTCTGCTTTGACCTGCAATATGACAGTCTCCAAGGACCAAAACCTCTTACCATGAAAGCCTTCTTCTCTTCCGCAGTTTGGAAGCGGCCATGGCCAAACTTGGATGTGGTGTCGATAAACTTCAGGTCAATCTTCTCCAGAGCACGGCGGCTGGTCTGCACCAACAGAGACTGAAACCAAACAGTCAGGTTAGGATTCAGGAAGTGTTTCAGATGGGCACCACTGTCACACAGCGTGCGTGACATTATCCTCACCTTGCGCAAAGTCAGCACCCTCTTCTTAGTTCCCACAACACAGCCTTTCACCATAACAAAGTCATTGGTCACCGTTCCATAATGGACAAATCCACCCTTTAAAAAGAAAGTGTAATCAGCAAGTGTCTTGCATTTCAAAGAGGAGCAATAAAGTGTAAACAAAAATAAATAAATAAATAAAATAAAAATGCACATACCAGAGGGTTGATGCTCTTGTTGGACAAATCATATTCAGTGGAAGCATTGTTTTTCATCAGCTTTCCATCCTTTGTGTGGTAACCCTGGCCAATCTTGTAGATCTTTTTGTTGATTTCTGTGCGGTGGTGGTAGCCCTTCTGACCAGAACGGGCCACTGAGAAGGCAACGCGAGCTGGATGCCAGGCACCAATGCAGGCAACCTTACGCAGACCACGATGGGTCTTACGAGGGAGTTTCTTGGTGTGCCAACGGCTGGTGACGCCTAACAGACAACACTCAGTTCAGGTCTGGCTGATATTCAGTCAAGCTTCAACTCGAAATTTCAAAAACAAAATCTTCTTACCCTTGTATCCATGACCCTTTGTGACACCAATCACATCAATCATCTCGTCCTGAGAGAAGACGGTATTGATAGGAACAGCCTGCTCCAGCTTCTCACGAGCCCAGTCCACCTTGTCAGAAATGGTGCCACCATTCAACTGCACCTCCATCAGGTGAGCCCTCTTCTGACTCAGGGGAAGGAGACGCATCTGTCCATAGGGAAGAAAAAAAAAAAAAAAACATTTAAATACAGAGTTTTGGAACTTTTCAAGTACATTCATGTACTGCATCGTCTCAGAAGGAAGGCAGCATGGAAGATATCTTCATGTGTCTCAGGCGCCATGCCTGACGCAAGATCCGCGGTCTCATCACCGAGATTAAAATCATAAACTGTCCATCAAAGTCAGAAGCACATACCTGCGTGTGGGCAATGATGCGGATGATCTGGCAGTACTTCTTCATTGCAGCAAAGTCTTTCTCAAGCTGCTTCTTTCCATCATCATCCTGCCATTTCTTGCAGTACTTGGTGAAAGCCTTCTTCTTGGACTTGTACCTTAGAAGAGAATACACCTATTGGCACAGGTCCTTCATAACCCAAAAGGTTAGCGGAAGGACACAGTGCTCATCTGCTCGCCCCATTCAGGGGGGGCTGAGTCAGAGGAATAAGATTTTGGCTCATAGCACAGCTTCTAAGAAGCACTTTCCACTGGCCAGAGGAGCCCGGAGCTCATCAGGGCACGAGGCACCTGAGCGGAGCTGCCACAAAGGCCACCGTAACGTTAGACTCACTCAGTGACAATGATCATTTTCACTGGGCAACTAACTGCTCCAAGCACATTTAAGTACAGCTGGCAATCAGTTAAAATGGTTGCCCTGATTTGATCCGACAATGAAGATGGACAAATCATGTATCAATCTGTGTTTTAAGTGGGTGACTTCTCCCAAACAACGCAAACATGTAAATAAACATTTACTATATAAAATTTAAACTCAAAAGCTGACATTTTAATTTATACATAAATGCAAGCTCTATATGCATGTTCTAATCATTTGAGCATTATTAAAATTATTTTATACCCCATCTGGGATATAGAAGGTGCACAGCCAAAAAAAAAAAAGTTTGGGAATAACTGATATAGTGTACACCATTCTCAAAGCATTCAAATGAGTTTATTTTACAAATTATCTTTATTTTACAAATTAATGAAATCCAGTTTTAATCTTTATTTTACAAATTAATGAAATCCACATTCTAACTTTGACAGCTGTACTTAAAGCCCAATATTTCTGCTAAGCACCCAAGGGCCTTACCAGTTTTTGTAGAAGCGACGCTTGCATTCATCACTGATGTGCTCGGCAAAGATGGTCTTGAAAGAGCGCAGGCCACGGGGAGTGTTGATGTATCCCACAACTCCAACTACGATCATGGGAGGAGTCTCCACAATGGTTACAGCTTCGACTACCTCTTTCTTGTTCACCTCTGGAGAGAAGGAAAACCAAAATGGATCAGATCTCACAAATCTTCACAATTATTTCAAGTCGAGTCGAATGTTTCTGGTGCAGACTGCGCTCAGAGCTCGACATTCAGCAAGGGTGTTTAACCCACTATGTCCGCCCGTCGAGAGGATCATCATAGGCAGAGTCACCACACATTAAAACCAAACAAAAAGCATGTAGTACAGGTCTCACATTTGTGTGTATTAGCCAATTTTATTTATACCTCAAAACCCCAGAAGCTGCGTGCAATTTGAGTACATCAGACACTCATTCTGACCAATTTCTGTATTTAGAGGAACATGGTTTTACCATGCCTCAAAAAGACATTTTATTTAAATATACGTTATACAACAGCCGTTTAGGCGAAAATCCAGAGGTTAGTGAGTAATACTTTGAACCGTTAATGCGTATTGGAATCTCTGGAGAAGTAAAAATGTCAAGGACAATTCCTACTCCGGTGCAGCATGGTCATTAGAAGTGTAACTTAAATATTCCCCATACTTTGAAACTGTACCAAGTACGGACCCGTTTTAATTAAGTGCAAACAACGTTCTTTTTCAGTGGACTTCGATTCTTAAGTTATTTTTAAACTAAAACGTTCTTGAAATGGTTTTAGGCCTATTGTTATTTGGACTTACTTGACCCAGGTCTGTCGACCTCACGCACGATGTGGGTCATTCCTGCCTTGTAACCAAGGAATGCGGTCAGGTGCACGGGTTTGCTTGAGTCATCCTTAGGGAAACTCTTCGCCTTTCCGCGGTGACGACGACTCCTCTTGCGGGGCAGAAACCCGAGGGATCCGTGGCGTGGAGCCGAAAACTTACGGTGAGACTGTAGAAAATGGAGGATTAGTGTATTTAATATAAACTACATAATTGGTAAGTAATATGTAAACTCACTACGTTAACAACTAGCTCGCGTTCATTTAGCCATAGTTTAAGTGAAACGAGCTACGCGTGGAAAATGAATCCAAAGCATAGATGTCGCCATTTTGTCAGCGCATGTACTTAGATTTCTTCTTTCACAAAACAGGAAATTGTTTTTAAAAAGTAACATTTAACATCAAGAATATAAAACGGCGATGGCCGATTAAATGTTGAGACACGGATGCTGAAGATAATAGGCAGATTAGGCCCTGAGAAGTCCAAACCTATTCATGCACTCACCATCTTGTCTCCAGTCCGAGTTTCAAAGAGACCCAACGAAGAGCAAACGGTGCTTATATATATCAAGAAACAACGCGAGATTACCCACATGCGACTCCACCCTCAACAACGACGTCACCACACAATAACGTGCAATAAACACGGCTACCACTAGATGCTGCCGTTGACATTTTCACCGTTAAACACATCGTGTCTCTTCTACGTTACGTCATTTCTTTAAAAAAGCACTTTAGTTATTCAGTTAATAAGAGCTCAATTTAGTCAAAAGTAGAAGCATGTCTGACAATCAAACATTTTGAATTTGGTTTACGATGAAGGAGGTGGTTTTTCTCTACTTGGATATAAATGGAAAAGTTACCATTAAAAACGTAATATTTTTTATATGAACTTCTGGTGAAATTTGTAGTGATTTTTTGTAATATATATATATTTTATATGTACTTCTGGTGAAATTTGTAGTGATTTTTCAGTGGCTTTGTTATCAGTGCATTTGCAATTTGTAGTTCAAATGAAGCAATACTATACTACTATCCTTTTGAATGGTTGCAGTATATCAACTGCACGTCCTCAGTTTAGGCAACTGCTGGTTTGGTTCCCATGGTGACCGCGGTAAACAGGATTGCTGATCAGTTCACTGCGACCATTTTTCTTCCATCGTTTGGAGTTAAACTGAAATGTCTTTGGTGCAGCGGGAGATGGAGCAGCTCTTCACCGTGTTCGAAGGTTCCGCTGCTGAGGACGTGTATCACGCCCGTCAGCTCTGGAGCTCGCTGTCTTTGCTGCCGCCATTGGAGTCCTGTCTGGTTTCAACGGACATCCGCCAGAGACTGCCGATGTCACGGCCACGACGCGACAGAATGTCCGCTGTAGAGCCACAAAGTGACGCGTTCATGCGACAGCAACGGCGGCAGGAGGAACGGCGACGTTACGAGACCATGGACTGGCAGAGACGACATGTGCTGCCTCAACTGGCGAAGCAGTGGAAACAACCCGGAGAATAAGCCGTTTATACAGAGATCCCTTTGACGCATGACCCATGATATACTGAGTTTAAAAAAATGTGACTAAGTGTTTTTATGTGTTTTTAGACATAAAAATAAGAACTGATTTGGTTCTGTTTTTATACACCAAATTTTCTTTTTGAATGTTGACACAATTAGTCTGCAGTTGCAAAGGCTGACCACTGTATGGCAGTGTTGGGTGATTCTCAGGCATCCACTGTAGAGGCTTATATGCAACACTGCCATCAAAACCTATTCTTATCATAGAAAATGACATTTTAATAGCTGTCCACTGTAGTGACCATCATGCATGAAAGGGTTAAAATAAAACATAGAAGGATGGACTTACTCATTACCACTGATGAGTTTAAGCCATTACATCCGTCGTCACGGATAAGCTCATTTAGTCTTTGTCACATTCTAGTCATTTTTGTGGCCCTCTGGCGAATTCTTTTTATTTGAGTTGACTTTGTTTCAGTGCGTCCGTCTTTTGTTAGTCGTTCGTAATTTTGTGGTTGTTATTTAGTGTATTTTAACTTTTAGTTATTTTTATTTTTCATCACATTATGTGATTATCACTAGTTTAGTTACACTTCTCTGCCTTGTCTTTTTTTTATCATTCCGCATCTCTGTGATTACTCTGTGTTTGTGTGGACATTTCTCTGCTTGTGGTTCTTCCCGTTCATTGTCTTTTGATGATTTGTCCCATTGAGGACATTTTGTTTTTCCCTGCATTTGTGCAAAAAGTGATTCCAGAACATGTTTAAACTGCTGTTGTAATACAGAGGGCATGTTTGGTTTTGCATGTAAATATGACAACAAACGCAGGTGAGGATGAACAGAAAAGACTTTGGGAACATCACGTCAAAAGTTCTACACTTAAAGTAGTAAAAAAGTCGTGGGGGAAAAAAAAACTAAACATTTTACATACAAATAAATGTTGATAGTTGATTAATTAACTTCGAGAACCTGATAATATTTTTTTTTCTTATCTGTACAAACCATTGTATGAGTTGCTGCCACCTAGTGCCTGGAGGCTTGTTATCATTCTAGCATTACAGCAGTGGTACACTTATGTCCAGCGTGCCACATTCCATTGGAGTCCCCTC